GTGCAACGTGAGGGCGAAATTAACGGGTTGTTTATCACGAAAAAATACATGAATAAAACAATATGTATATATGATGATAAAAAAATATATGTATATGCGGGTTTTAAGCATTTGAGAGAGGAAGACGATGTGAAACGAAAATCAATAGTAAAATAAGATAGGATGTGTACACACACACACACACACACACACACACACACACACACACACACACACACACACACACACACACACACACACATACATACATATATATTATATATATATATATATATTATATATATATTATATATTATATATATATATATATATAATATATATATATAACATATATGTATTTATATATATACATAATATATATATATATATATATATATATATATATATATATATATGTTTTAGACATATATGTATTTTATTACATACATATATATATATATATATAATATATATATATATATATATATAATATATATATATATATATAAACTATACATATACAACATGAACTTCTTATTGATCGCACCAAAAATAAGTGTAGCCTTCAAGCAGTAAGGAGACGATCCCAGACGATGATCATAAATTGATAAGAACATTAAACAGATAAATATAAACATACATCTACGATAAAACGATTGATCATGCAAAAAAAAAAAAAAAAGCAGAGACTGAATCCCGCGCGAGGAAACGAAACCCGCACATTATCGCGGTAAATTCATGCACTCGAGAGGCATTCGCTCGCATGACAGGCGCCGTTCATGCTTCACTCTCCTAAATAAAGGATAAACACGGACCTTATCTTTGGGCTTCACTAAGGGTTTAAGTTTCGCATGAATCGTGTTGATAAACTCTGGAGTGGAATATTAACACGGGTGAGTGGGAGGAGGACCACTGCCCCCTCCTCCCTTCTCCACTCCACTCTCTCTCCTCCCTTCTCCAATCCCCTCCCTCTCCCCCTCCAATTCACTCCACTCACTCCCCCCTCTGGCTCTTTCGTTTGTTCTTTTCTATTTTGGATATCTTTGTCTCTTTCTTCTCCTCCCCACTTGTAGTTTCTGGCCTTTTCTGTCTTGATTTTCTCCCATTTTTCTGTTTCTCTTTCCCTCCACCACTTTCTACCTTTCTGCGTTCCCCTCTTCCTTTTCCTTCTCTTCCCACCATCGTTGCCCTTCAGCCTTTCCCCCTCCCTATTTCTCTATCTTTCCCCTCTCCTATCTCCCTCCTCCTCTCTCCCTTTCTTCCCACCATCGCCCCCCCTTCCATCCCCCATCCTTCCCCCACCATCGCCACCCCCTCTTCCATCCCCCTTCCTATCCTCCTTCCTCTCTTCTTCTTCTCTCCTCCTCCTTTCCCCCCACCATCGGCCCCTTCCTCCTCCGTCCACCAAACAAGAGAGTTGCTGAGCGTCGTTACCCACAGGGACATGAAGGTTGGCTGTCTGTATAAAGAAGACCCACTGACTTGTCTCCTCAGTGCGGGTCTTGCAGGCGCGCGTGGAGGGACTGGGGAGCTACGTAGGGAGGTTCAAAAGCAATAGAGAGAGAAAGAAGGGAAATAACGGTAGAGAGATAAGGGAGACAGCTATAGAGAGAAAGGAGGGAGATAGCGATAGAAAGAGAGGGGGGAGATAACGATAGAGATGGAAAATGGAGATAGATATAGAAGGGGAATAGCGATAGACATAGAAGGGAAATAACGATAGAGATAAAGAAGGAAGATAGAGAAAGAGAGAATAGGAAAACTAAGAGGGAGGAGACATAGCCGAAGAAAGAACAACCGAGGGTAGGAAGGAAGGAATAAATTAATAATATAGATAAACAGGTCAGTTGTTTGACTGAGAGAGAGAGAGAGAGAGAGAGAGAGAGAGAGAGAGAGAGAGAGAGAGAGAGCGTGAGAGCGTAAAATAAGGCCAGTACCAGCACAGTAACCTTTTATTGGCAAGGAGAATCCCCACCAGTTAGGGGAAACGGGAGGGGAAGGGAGTAGCCAATGTAAATAAAGTTTTTAGGCCTGTTACCACCTGCAGAAACGCACTCTAATATGTAATTATATTCACCAAATCCGCAATTGCCAAAATATCTTGAGTCAAGTTAAAAGAGAACAAGCATGAGGTCACAACGCTAGCATGACTGTAAATACATAAAACTATATTTAGCCTTTCTGTATACTTCTACTGTATATAGGACATATGTATATATGTGAGCACTTGTAGACTAATCCTTTGATACTGTATCTTTGCTGTCACATTTCAGTCTTAAGCACTTTTATGGTATTTATAATCATAGTGTTTAAAGACTATTAATCACTTATTCTAATTACCTGCACTAATAGCAAATGCGTTGTTGACCGTCTTATTATTAACTTAATGCAATTGCGATTTTTTTACGCTCAGGCCGGTAAGTGGCAATGATATATGTGATATTTTTCTCTGAAAGGAATAAGTTATTATTAATGAAAGGATGACAATAGAGTTTTTTGACGAAATATAAGGAATACCATTATCTAGAAGATGAAACTTGAGGTTTAAAAAAAAAAAAAGGAATATTATTACCTGTTATTTCCTATTGGGATCTTCTCTCCTCATCCTCCCCCCCCCCCCCCCCCCCGCCGCACTTGCAGGAGAGTCTCTTTTCGCGGAACAAGAAGGACCCATCGGACAAGGAAGGCGCTGACGAGGGCGACGAAGACGGGAGAGGAGGATTCGAAGACGAGGACGAGGAGAAGAAGAAGATCAGGCTGGACGAGGAGGAGAGCAAGCTTCCCTTGACCCAGGACGAGGACGCTATGCCGGACAGGGGCGTGGTCAAGCAGGCCATCAGCGAGCCCGAGATCAGGACGCGGTGTGACGAGGAGCTGACCTCGAATGACCCTCACCTGATGGGCTACAAGAGAATGACTGTTGCAGGTGAGTATTTGTGCTTGCTTTTTCTCTCTCTCCATGTATCTATCTATCTCTATTTCTCTATCATTGATTCTTTTTCTTTTTTTTCATTTCGTTTATCTTCGTTTTATACCCTTTTCTTCCTTTCTTTTTGGAGAAGGTCCATCAAAAGGGGATAATAGAAGAAAATGAAATGTGTATATATAAAATGGGTGAGAGGCGGGTGAAGAGGGAAGAACAAATGAAAAAAAAATGTAAAAAATGTGTGAAAGGTTTGTGAAAAAGGGAGAACAAATAGACAGTAAAATGTTATTAAGAGTGTAAGAAGTGTGTTAGATATTCTTGATGAGAATTGCCTGGGAGTAAAGATGAATTTCTCTGTGAACTGAATGTTTGGCTTTTTTTTCTTCTCCTTCTTCTTCTTCTTCAATTACAGGAATATTCTTATTTTATTTTTCTCTCTCTCTCTTTCCTGCAGAATAGTTGATGTTAAAGTTAATTCGATGTTTTCTTAAATTTAAGATTAAGATAACGTTATGTTGATTAATTAGTCTTCTGTTAGTGATGGTATGTCTAGATCCAGCACGTGAGACTGCTGTTAAAAACCTATGGTGATAATAATGATGATAAATAATTATAAGAATAAATAGAAGTGAAAATATGATAAATAGGATGATCTCTTAAAGAAGGAAAAAATCTGTCTTGTAATGAAAAAAGCAAGAATGTTGACGTTGGTTTAGATGTCCTGCTTCTCGATCGATTTGATTGAGGAATATTTGTGTTTCATATACTGGTATTTATTGTATGTTTTGTTACTTGTCCATATTCATTCTCCAGTTGTTGTTCATTGATTGTTTAAGAAAACCAACCATTTATGTTGCTCTGTTTTCCCCCTTGCTTTGTATAACTGATTTCATTGGGTTGTTGTTTTAAATGAAAATGTGTATTTGGAATTATATGCAAATGTGAGAATGAAGAATGTCAGTGTGGCCAAAGAAAAGGTATTTTGATGTGCGTGTGAAAGTTTGTTTAATGTGGGTTGCATGCGATTTATTTTTAGGTAATTTTAAAAGTTTGATTTTTTCAGCTATCTGTTTATTTTCGTGTTGGCCTAACTACCAAAGAAAACTGGTCACGGTATTTGCAGTTTTATATATTATGATGAAATGTTGAATCTCTGGTGAAACTACTGGACATTCTATATCCCCTTTGTTAGATAATGAACTATGACTAACTCTCCTACTTGTGATATAACGTAAGTTGAATTTACTCGTTATACCCTTCAGTTATATATCTTCGTTATACCTTCGAGGAATGTGTACTTAGAGCTTTCTCCTTAATGATACCACTAATTCATGTATGTGTGTGAGGGAGAGACAAAACAAACTTGTTGTTCTGATATTTATACTCTTAAAAAAGAGAGAAACAAAGAGAAAAAAGAACATGATTTCTCTGTCTTCAACACCCATAAACCAACACTGTTTGTACTTTACTATAATCTTGCTGTGTATTCATCTACCTCGGTGTCTCTTAACACTAGTTTTATTAGTCTTATTGTATCTTTGTATCTTTAAAGCCTATGCATAATCCATCGCCGTGTGTTATTATTCTTTCATTTATCAACCCCCCCCTTTACTCATTTTAGTCAAGAATCGCCTCAATACTGAATTGGCTCCCCAGCCCCAAGAAAACGGACGCTTGCAGAAGATTTTGATAAACGGAAAGAAAGTTAAATTTCAAGGTAATCTGTCTCAGATCGACATTTATTTAGATAGATAGTGAGTTCTAGAAGAAAATATGTATATTATACATACATATATATCATACACATCTCTCTTGGATGTCGCTATATTAAAATGGCACGTACCAATGGCTTGTATTTGACCACACCCGCTAACGGTCCTTTTTTGGAGAAAATGAGAACAATAATAAGGACATTTTGGTTTCTCCCTTATTTCCTTTTTTACCCCCTTCTCCTTATTTGCTGTCTTTGCCTTTCTATTTTGTGACCGGCCTCGTTTTCCCAATGATTTGACTTTTTTTTACTTATTTTTTGTCGTTTTATGAGCTTCTGCTTCGAAACACCGAGATTTTTTCGTTTGCGTAGTTTGAAGACCCAGCTTCAGAGTGACCCAAACGGAGCCGAGATCAGCTCCCTTAGATGGTATATATTCCCTACGATTTTTTTTTCTTGTATGGCAAGGGATGTAGGAGGATTTTGGAATATATGCTGAGATTATTTTTTAAATATCTCGCCGAGGGAGATCTCCTTTTTTCCAAGTTAAAAACTAGATGATGAAATAATAATCCATATGTAAAATAATAATAATAATAATAATAATGACAACGATAACACTGATGCTAATAACCCAGCCCCAACAGTGACTGACAGAGTATACTCCCCACAGTATACTCTTGAGTCGTGTCTCGTGTGTGTCTTGTGTCGGTATGGTGTGTATAGTAACCCCCCCCCCCCTTTTCCTCTGTCACAGCACCTAAAAAAGTGAACCATAGTGCTGTATCCTTGCACGATGAATTTTTATCTGTAGTTTGTAGGAATTTGTACAAACATACGAGGGGCGGTATGTTATGGACTGCGTAGACATTGAAGTAAATTCACTTTCAAGTTAACATACCTTTTTGGAAGACCTGTTTTTCTTAACTATTTTTTTCTTTTTTGAATAGAAAATCACCATATATATACATTTATGATAGATTGTTTTTGTCTCTTAAATCATTTGTATAAATATGGAAAAAAAAGATGAGTGATGCATATGAGTTTCCATTTGCAAACACATAGGTCAATAATTATCACTTCTGTTCCGTGTAAGACCAAAGCTGTGCAGTAAGCTTGGGACCAGCCTCAGGTCCGTCTTGGAATATGGACTGTGTCAGCTGCTAAGTGATAACTAAGTGACCAGGAGCTTGTTGCTGCAATGCGAGATACTGTATCAGAGCTTATTTTATAGTGATGGCAAGAATAATCTGGTAGAGATTATGCTACTGGGCATTTATTTTTGCAAATGCTTACGGAAGGCATACTTTCTACACATGCTTTTAAAAGAGAGAGAAAAGGTTACATGACCTCCTGCTTTAGATTATAGCACTGCATCATTGTAATAATCTTAATGAATGTACTTTTATTTCATGAATGAGTATCACATTCTGTAGAATACCTGAATAACGGTTCGGAAATGATGAAGCGTTGATGATCCCAGCTTCTGAGCTCTTCTTTTGTTTCTTCTTCTCTCGTTGTCACTTTGGTAATCACGATGTTGACGTTATATTGCCCATCTCCCCCATAATGTTGATGGCGTGACCCTGGTCCCCTTGGTCTGGCAGGTGAGGAGGACCGGACTGAGATCATCGAACTCCTCGACTTCCGCTCAGACCAGCCGCAGTTCGCGCGCTGCGGCGGCCGCGCGCCCCAGCACCGCAACCACGAAAACGACCTCCGCGACTTCTCTTCGCGAGACGCCTCCCAGGAACGCCGATATGACGACCACCGCTCGGAAGACCGCCGGCAGGAGGAACGCAGATCCGAGGAACGGCGCCCCGAGGACCGAAGGGGCGAGGATCGGCGGCCCGAAGAGCGGCGGGCTGACGAGCGCCGTCTCGAAGATCGCCGACCCGACGATCGGAGAGCGGATGAGCGCCGCCTGGACGACCGTCGGTCCATGGAGCGTCGCGGCGATGACCGCCGGCCCGACGATCGCCGACTCGAAGACCGACGAAGCGATGACCGTCGCCATGACGACCGGCGAACCGACGATCGCCGGCATGAAGACCGCCGAACAGACGATCGTCGTCTGGAGGATCGGCGGACCGACGATCGGCGAACCGACGATCGGCGAACCGACGATCGGCGGTCTGAGGAACGTCGCGTGGATGAGCGGCGCCTCGAGAATCGGCATTCCGAAGAGCGTCGTTCCGAGGAACGGCGTCCCGATGCGCTCCGGCTCGACGACCGACGGTCCGAGGAACGCCGCTTCGAGAACAGACGCTTCGACGACCGGCGTTTCGACGACCGCCGCGCCGACGACCGCCGCTCGGAAGAGCACCGCTTCGAGGACCGCCGCTTCAACGAGCAACACTTCGACAACCGGCGGACGGAGCAGCGGCGCTCCGAGGAGTACTCGAACGACTTCCGGCCTCCGTACCGCCAGAGGGAGTATTTGCAGCGGTACCGGTCGGCGCGCGACTACCGCCAGGAGTACCGGCACTCGGGCGACTTCCAGATGCGTGATTTCTCCTCGGACAGACTCTCGGAGGAGTTCCTGCAGGACTTCCGCCATGCCGAGGAGTACCGGCCCAGGGAGTACCCCCTCGACTCCCACTCCATCGAGTACAGGCCTCGCACGTACACGGACGACTACCACCGCTCAGTAGACTACACCTCCATGCAGGACTATCCGCTCGAGCGCCGGATACGAGACTACCTGCGCGAGTTCGGCTCGGGGGACTTTCGTCTGAGGGACTACCAGAACGACTTCCGGTCGCGGGACTACTCCTCGGAGTACACCCGCCTCTACCGGACGGGGGACTACCCGTCGCGGGACTTCCACTCGGACTACAGCGCCACCGACTACCACAGCAGGGACTACCCCCTGGAGCGGCGC